GCGAGGGTATACAATGACGGAGGCCGAGCGGTGCTATGGGGAGCATTGCCCCATATCCCGTCCGGTCTTTTTTTCGAAGCCTTAGGTGCGCGCGCGCCACACGCGCTTTTCCTCCTCGATCTTCGAGGGCTCCTTCTGCTCGGGATGAGCCGATTTGCGCGTGCACGAGAAAGGTTAATTATGTAATGCAAACGTTGTTTCGCAATCACCGCCGAGTGTGTGTCAAATGTCAGTCGTCGCTGCGCGAAATACTTCGCGTTTGGCGATTTTTCGCCGATCGCGAACGATACGGCGGGAGATCGCGCGTGCGCGATTCGCAGTTTCCACCAGGTCGTCTCGTTTTGTCGTGTGATTCTAGTTTTTTCGTCTCGTTGTTTTCCGCCACTGCCGCCGCATTCTCCGTCTCCCTCCCCCCCCCCGCGCCGGTCGTTGCTTTTCCTTCGGTAGAAATGGGCAAATATTTTGATAACCGATAACGCACGTACGGCTCGCTTCGATCGCGATGCGCCGGCCGCTTTACGTATCGCGTAACGACGATACATGAGTTACGTAAGAGCCGTGAACGGACCGGCCGGTGATTTATCCGCATTACGCCCGGTCGATTACCAATTTCCGCGCTATCCAGCTATCGTCGCGCGTTTTCGCTCTCCTCACGCCTTCTTTCTCTTTTACTCGCGCGCACGCGCGCCTGTGCACGAGCGCCGTGTTCTCATCAGCGATGAATACGACACGTGTCGCGCGCACCTCCGCGCGAGCGCTACACCGGCGGAGACTGCTCAGCGTTTTCTTCCCGTGTCTTTCACGACTCGTGGACGTGCCGGATCGTCGTGCTGATGACGAAGCGCGGAAATGTTTTCAACATATTCGGCGCGAGCGATACGCGACCAATTAAACGGCGCCGTTCCATTCATTTCGCTCGTCGTTCTCGATTTTTTATGCGGCTCACTCGTTCGCGTCTTAGTTTCTCGGTCAGGTGCGAGCAGAGGAGGATACGTTGATGCCTCAAGGAAAGTCGGTTCGGAGCACGCGTCTCGTGTATTATTTGACTCGATGATCTTAAAATACTACGTGACATATCTATCTCTCTCTCTCCCTCTCTTTCTCTTGCGAATTTAATCAGTTCGGATCGAAATAACTGCGCATCGCCTTCTGATTCTTGTTCTCGGTGCGTATCTTCGTCGTTCGCACGAGTGCGACGAGGAAGATAATGGACATCGTTGCCTCAAGGAAAAATAAAGAGTTCGAACTATACGTGCACACACAGACACATATTATTCTACTCGGTGGCCTTAAAATGTTACGTGACGTTTTTTTCTGTCCCTCTCTCTCTCTCTCTCTCCCCCCCCC